CTACTCAGGTACACACCTGACGCGTCTCATTAGGACTATTGCTGATGGGCAGAAGACCTGCCCAGCTAGGACCAACGTCGAAGTCAACAAGAGGAAGAGATTTGCCATCGACGTAAAATTCTGGACGAAGATGGATCAGACGTATGAGATATTTACTTGTAACATTTCAGTCACCTGAGGCCTTGGGGTTGGTGAATGTGATATTCTGAACACCACTGCTCTTTACGTTCTGAGAGCCACCAGTCTGCCAACGTTTTGCTGCCTCGAATCGACGTTGGTTAATCTCTTGCATGGTCATCAAACGACCGCTGACGGCGGCCACTGCGAGCAGAGTCGCAAACACGGCAAGAAGACGCATCACGGTCGAATAAGCTAAAATCTTGTGAGGGGGGAATAGCGAGTCGTATTTAAAATGAGTATTCCTGCAACGAGCATTCAGATAAACCACAGCGGGTTGCCATAGCAGGGAATGGGTGCGTTCAAGCGGCAGAATTTCCGAGCCGAGTTCTACCAACCGGTTTGACTGAATTAGTGAGGGCATGTAGGAAATGGCCGGTCTATGTTAAGTCTGCGCAGACTCCGCGACATAGTCTGGGGGACATGTCTGGGTAGCGTTTCTGGTGAAATGAACACAGTTCAGACTGACTTCGCTTCGCTTCGAAAAAGAGGCAGTGTGCTTACCTCCCAATAACGCACAAGATCAGTGACACGCTCGCCGGCATTGAGTGTCAGCGGCTCACGTTCATAACGCTCTAACTCCCTTCTAGCATCCTTGCAATCTTCCTCGATTGCTTTTGTCTCTTGTTGATCAAGCTCTGCGGCAGTTGGTTGATGTCCCTCGTTCGTATTTGATGAAAGTTGGCAAAGGTGATGGTGAACTTGAAGAAAATATGATTGAGGAAAAGGATGTCGAACGCTGGATATCAACATTGATGCACGCCAGTCGAAGTTGTAGTTGTGTTAGGCAAACAAAGAGCTTGCTGACCGGATTTGCGCTGGAATGTTCGATATGTCATGTTGTCATCTTAGTAAAATGACAGGTCAACTGATGCAATGATGGCCAGGCAATTAGTCTTAGGCTTGCAGGCGGGAATCCTCCGAAACTCAGATGTCGTGCACAGGTGTGCGATAGGTTCGAACTTACAGGTAATAGTCAGTAGATGAGAAATGACTATTGACACCAGAGGCTGGCGCCTCATGCAAGTATAGCGCTGAAAATAAGAAACTATCTACTTCATCTTGGCGCGCAATTAGACAAATTGGGTTGCTGCATCGCCTCATTACGAAAATGTTTGTTACGAACTGCCTCAGCCTCATTTTCGAAGCGAAGCGAGTTAAAACTGAATTCCAACACTACCTGCAATACTATGTAATATGGGAAGTAAGTATCTATCTAAGGAGTGTCTCTAAACCCCATCAGGTACTGCATGATCTGGAAGGAGGCCTGAAATTATCAGTATCTGCGTCAGACGGTGTCTGCATGACAGCACTGTCGACTTACTACTGGCGCAAACTGTGGCACCCTAGTACAGCAGACATTAACATTGACAACGAGACCCTCTGAATTGCAGTAGACTCACATGTGTCCACTCAAGGCTACTTCATAATAAGTGAGTCCTCGTTCTGAGTGCATCGACCCGTAGGCACCCACGCCATCGATCATGAAGCTGTCATTGGCGATAGGCGTCTGGAATCCTTGCAAACCATTCCCTTGGAATATAATGAGTGAGTGTTCGTGTACATCAAATACCACTAGGCACGCACAGGTCATGCTACAATGATTACCATCGATTAAAGTGATACAGTCATGGTCAAGAACGCACTTACTTTTGAATAACAATTCTGTCTCTAAATCATCGAGACATTGCGTCAGAATATACGAAGATCAGGGTCGAAACCGAAGTCATACCCAGCAGCAATGAGCATGAAGTCTGCGAGGCCGTGCACGATGACGGTCCGCTGGCTCTTCTCGATGACATTCGGTAACACAGTGAAGGCAGGGGGCAAGCTGCCATCTCCAGTTTCGAAGACATCAGGTTTGCATATGAACCAATCAGTGTTCACGGGAGCGTGGATAGCTTCTTTTACGTCTGTTAAGTTAAAGTAGATCGGAGACTGCGTGTCTCTGGATCTGCGTCAGCTGGGCTTCATTGAATCGATCATTGAATGGCCTACAGCAAACCTAGGACATCCCATGGAAGCGGATACTTGAAAGAAAAAGAAGTTAATATGGTATTCATCGATGTCTTGTTCGACTCACAGTGTCCCAGATGCGATAGATATTGAAAGAGGGGTTGATCATCAGCGCATTAAAGTAAATGTCGGTCCAGATATCGCAGCCTTGAACAAAATTGATAGAGTCTCCTGGCAGGGGAAGAAGTCCTTTTGGAGGGTATGTAACGTACTTATCCATGTAGCCAGTGTAATTGCACATTGCGGCCATCGCGTCGAGCTGCTCCATGTACGTTTGACTAGATATCAATCAGTAAGTAACCTGCAAACTAGGTCCGAGTGAAATGAACAGACTCAAAAGAGAAAAGACTAGCGTGCTTTTTCACAAAGTCCCATGCAGGGATTTCCTGTTGCACCACAAACCATGAGAATAAGGCTGAGTTTCACGTATGAGCCCTTGAGAAGAGACAGAGCAAGTCAAAGTGTTATTTACGATCATTGATCCATATCCCTTGCAACGAGAGGTCTAACAGAGTCGGGTTCTCGTAGATATAGTTTGCGATATCTTCATTTGTCTTGGAGTTACGTTCAAAGAAGATGACTGCTGACTCACAAGGAACGTATCTTCCAGCATACTGAATACAGTCAGTACGATGTTTTACTGGAGTCTCTGAGAACTCACACTTTCACCCGATAAATACAGCTTTTTACCTTTGAGTTCCGAAAAGACCTCAAGGAACTGCTGCATGAAGCCGACGACTTGAACAGCAACATCGTCCTCATTCTGTGCGTCCGGGATGCCTTGGGAAAACCCTGTGCCGACAGGTTGCTCCACCCAAAGGACGGAGGACAGGTTGGTCCAACTGTGTTGGTTCACCGTCGGTTTTGCCTGACCCCAGGACCAAGTAAAGGGCTTCAAACATCTCAGTTATAGATGTCTTGTCATCAACAAAGAGGCTTGCCCCATTCTCTTCCAGTAAACCTGCGAGGGAGGAGCATCCAGGTCCACCATTCGTCCTTGAAGTGGAACATGTCAGGTCAGCAGCGAAGAGCTTAGAGCACACCGCTTCTGATGACGCACCAAAAGATCAAATCATCAAGACTCCCTTGGGGGCCGGGAGGAAAAAACCAAAAAAAGAGCTGATGTACTTGATGTCAACACTTGAAGGACGTGTATAAACTGCTCGTGTACACACCTGACGCGTCTCATTAGGACTATTGCTGATGGGCAGAAGACCTGCCCAGCTAGGACCAACGTCGAAGTCAACAAGAGGAAGAGATTTGCCATCGACGTAAAATTCTGGACGAAGATGGATCATACGTATGAGATATTTACTTGTAGCATTACAATCACCTGAGGCCTTGGGGTTGGTGAATGTGAAATTCTGAACACCACCGCTCTTTCCGTTCTGAGAGCCACCAGTCTGCCAACGTTTTGCTGCCTCGAGTCGGCCTTCGTTCATCTCTTGCATGGTCATCAAACGACCGCTGACGGCGGCCACTGCGAGCAGAGTCGCAAACACGGCAAGAAGACGCATCACGGTCGAATAAGCCAAAATTTTGTAAGGGGGAAATAGCGTTCGTATCTAGAATGAGTACTTCTGAAGTGAACATTCACATAAGTATGCAAGGCGGATCGCCATGGCAGGGAATGTATGGTGTCATGGGTTTTTCATGTAGCGCTACGTGGGCACGGTCGACTTGGGCGTTGAACGTTCAACCGTGATTGACACACATGCGTTACGGCAGAATTGCCAAGCCGAGTTCTACCAACCGGTTTGGCCGAATTAGTTGTGCCTGGCAGTTGGCAAGACTTCTTTTCGAGAGCAGAACCTAGCAAAACCCCAGAACTCGCAGAGCAACGAGCCATTAAATTTGAATGATGAATTCGTGTTCAATTAAAATTGTTCGACTGTTACTCACATGCCGGAACATTCCCGAGTTATTGGAAAGCTTACACATTGAGAAGGCAACAATTGATCCGAAGTTACTCTTGGTTGTACCATGGAGAGTAATCTATGTCTCTGAGATAGACATTGATGCTCATTAGTGAGTACATTGCATGACAGTAAATACTCACAGCCCAGGGAACAGTGTTCTGCCGGTCAGTGAACCAAGTTCACGGTCATTGACCGGATTGCGTGGGAAAGCTGGCGAACTTCGTCGACGTTCATCTGAACACGACTTTCAGGAGTTTCCTGGTCCTACTGTAACGAACTATACTATATCTGGTCAATGCTAGAATCTTTGATTATCCTCGTGCCGCTTCACATATCATTACTCACATAAACGCATGGTTTTCGTGTGTTCGGTTCAAGGGTACGTTTTAAGGCTTAGAACTCGAAGATGGACTCCCGACTTTTGACACACCATGAAGATCGGCAAGAGATCAAACCAAGGATGGTGATGGGATCACTTCGTGGAGCACCCAGGTTATGCTGTCAAAGACCCAGCTTCGATGGTCAGTGGAAAGGCAAAGGTAGTGTGTGCAAGGCTCTATGAGCAACGTGTTGCGCATGAGCAGGCAATGGATGAGCAGCAGGTACACTTGGGCCAGCGAGATGCACCAAGGGACGAAATGGCAATAGCAGGCACTCGTACGCAAGTTTGTTTTATAGCTTTCTGTTACTAACTTAATGTACTAGTTTGGGCTAGTGGCCCGAATGATCCCCAACGCACCTGGTTAATCAGTCGGCTGACAACACTATTATGTCACTTGCGTGATTGTGCATTGCACTCTGAGGATGTCCGTTCGCAAGCACGGCTGGAATACAAAATGGCACAATTGGCTCTCAACTGAGACACTCACCCTTCTGGCAGAACTCAAGATGTATGTTCACGAAGAGCATGTACGCAACGATGTGGTCAAGAAGTGGCTTCGACGCCGGTGCTGTAACACCGAGGCCACTGACAAAGCAGAGCCTACTCAAGTAGTTCATGCAGTTGGCGACAATCTATCAGGAGAAAGCAGCGAACGGGAGCCACGCAGCCTCGCTTTCGAGAGGCGAGGGATAAGTGATGTTGCAGCAGACCTTATCCGAGCTGTTCAGGAGGAGGAGATTTCCACCACAGAATCAATGCACTCAGTCCCCATTGGTGCTGCCGGTGCCGGTGGTTCATTCTCCCGCATTGCTGTCAGTGACTTACTCGACTATTCTCGTGTGGAGGAATGGTTGGGATCTTGTTATAAAGTCGCTATTCGAGGTTTGGATGCTGAGCTTGAGTTATATGAGCTTCTTGACTTAGATGCCGAGGGAATTGATGATCCAGACTTTCCTCAAGTTGATGATGTTCTTGACAAGTAGATAAATGAGCAGTGCTACCAGATGTTATAGTAGTAGTAGTCGAGTACTATCCATTCTGCGATTGTTGACGCACCGTGTACTGCGGCACTTTGAACCTGCCTCATCGTCCAATCAGACATGATTATCTAATATTCAAGCAGGACATCTGGCACTGCACGAGTTCAGTTCACTTGCATTCATGGGAAAGTTTGCGGCTGAACGTACGTTAACTTTGATAAACGTACACTGACCGGCAGAACACTGCCAGGGAAGCACGCCCAGTATGAAGTCCTGAAAGCTGAGTAATTGAACACATGGTTGAAGACGAACGTACTAGACATCATAGTAGCGGTGATATAGCTTGATAAAAATAGAAGTCAACTGTTGACACGATTACTAGTGCTGTCTCGTGGCATCCATGCCTGCGATACTTGCAACGAGCTCACGCCCATTGTGCCTTCGGCACAAATCGAAGGAGCGCTACGCGCTCCTTCAGGGGAGAAAAATGAGTGTTGTTCCTTCATCACAGGAAGCCAACGAGGGCTACGCCCTCCTTTGGCTTCCTGGCCTCAGGCTGCATCCTAATAAATTGTGCATTTTGAATGATTTTGAAATATATTTATGAGCAGCTTTTCAAAAAAACTCAAAGTACAATCTATCACACCACATAAAAGTACATAGTACTACATACAATCAGTCAGTGCTATGTTCTTTGAGCAGGATTTTGACCAATATAAAAATACAAAATATGTAACAGTATCATTGAATGTATTTGTTTTCCCATTTTTCCCTGCTTCCCATCTAGGGATCAGCAGGGGTATGGGAAACCCTTGAGGGTAGGGGTAGGGGTTTGGATCTGAAGACCCCTGTACCCCTGGGAATATACCTCCAAATTGATTACCATAGGAGTGATGGATCAGTATAAAATTTTGAAGTTGTACATGTGCCTTCAAATGGTAATATATGTGATTGGAAAAAATGTTACCATGGGGTATACCCATGCTAATCCCTACTCCCTACTCCCTACTCCCTACTCCCTACTCCTGTCTCCTGTCTCCTGTCTCCTGTCTCCTGTCTCCTGTCTCCCGTCTCCCGTCTCCCGTCTCCCGTCTCCCGTCTCCCGTCTCCCGTCTCCCGTCTCCCGTCTCCCGTCTCCCGTCTCCCGTCTCCCGTCACCCGTCTCCCATCACCCGTCTCCCGTCTCCCGTCTCCCGTCTCCCGTCTCCCGTCTCCCGTCTCCCGTCTCCCGTCTCCCGTCTCCCATCTCCCGTCTCTGTTCTCTCAGTCTCCCATCTCCTGTCTCCTGTTCTCCCATTTCCCCATTTTCCTGTCATCACATTCTCTGGTTTTTGAGTCTACATTGTCTTTGTCTCCTTTTTTTATTTGAATCTTATCTCCTGTCACCACATTCATTATCTCCCTGTCTGTAATTGTATCATATGTTGTTCCATTTATGTACATATACAGTCACTACTAATAATTGCAGTAGGCAAAACACTCAAATCCTGTTGTCCCCCTGCTCAAACACATTATTTAATGCCATGTACACATACAGTTACCAATGTTGTTGTGCAACATTCCCAATGGGTGACGTTGTTTGAGTCGCCGCTCGAAATATACATGAAAACCACGCGAGTTTCCAAATCGAGGTTAAGCAAGGTAAGCGAAAACCACATGGCCTTTGGCGAAATATGCGAAAGCCACACGAGCGCGCGAACAGTTCTGAAAACCATTGTACTTTACTTCTTAGACGAGCTCACGCCCGTTGTGCCTTCGGCACAAATCGAAGGAGCGCGTAGCGCTCCTTCAGGGGAGGAAAATGAGTGTTGTTCCTTCGTCACAGGAAGCCAACGAGGGCTACACCCTCCTTTGGCTTCCTGGCCTCAGGCTGCATCCTAATAAATTGTGCATTTTGAATGATTTTGAAATACATTTATGAGCAGCTTTTCAAAGAACTCAAAAGTACAATAGTACATAAGATCAGTCCGTGCTATGTTCTTTGAGCAGGATTTTGACCAATGTAAAAAATACAAAATATGTAACAGTATCATTGAATGTATTTGTTTTCCCATTTTTCCCTGCCTCCCATCTAGGGATCAGCAGGGGTATGGGAAACTTGAGGGTAGGGGTAGGGGTTTGGATCTAAAGACCCCTGTACCCCTGGGAATATATCCCCAAATTGATTACCATAGGAGTGATGGATAAGTATAAAATTTTGAAGTTGTACATTTGCCTTCAAATGGTAATATATGTGATTGGAAAAAGTGTTACCATGGGGTATACCCATGCTAATCCCTACTCCCGTCTCCCTACTCCCGTCTCCTGTCTCCCGTCTCCCGTCTCCCGTCTCCCGTCTCCCGTCTCCCATCTCCCGTCTCCCGTCTCCCGTCTCCCGTCTCCCGTCTCCCGTCTCCTGTCTCCTGTCTCCCGTCTCCCGTCTCCCATCTCCCATTCTCCAGTTTGAGTCTCCTGTCCTCCCCATCTCCCTGTTTCCCATTTTTCTATCCCACCATCTCCTGTTCTCCCATCTCCCATTCTCCCTGTTTCCCATTTCCCATTTTTCCATCCTGCCATCTCCTGTTCTCCCATTCTCCCATTCTCCCATTCTCCCTGTTTCCCATTCCCAATTTCCTGTCCTCTCATCTCCTGTTCTCCAATTTTTGAGTCTCTGTTTCCTTTTTATTTATTTTTTCACAACTCTTTGTCATTGATTTCCTGTCACCACATATATTTGTTATCCCACTGTCTGCAAAATTATCATGTTGTTCCATTTTCAATTTTATTATTTACTGTATGTATGTAACATAAACAATTACATTACAATAAGGAAAATACTTGTGTTGTGTAGTGCACTGCTCTAATGGGCAAGTGAGTCGGCGCTCGAAAGCCACGCGAGATTTCCACGCGAGATTTCCAAAAACAGGTTTAAGCGAGCTAAGCGCTCCCATGTGGCCTTTAGCGAAAGCCATGCGAGCGCGCGAGAGTTCCCGAAAACCATCGTACTTTACTTCTTAGACTAGTCCACACCCGTTCTGCCTTCGGCACAGGTCGCAAAAAAAGAGCGCGAATGGCCTCAGCTTCATCCCAATAATTCAGAAGGCTCCTGATGAGCATTGTTCCTTCGTCACAGGAAGCCAAGGAGGGTTGCACCCTCTTTTGACTTCAGGCTGCATCCTAATAAATTGTACATTTTGGACACTTTTGAAATACATTTATGAGTAGCTTTTTGAAAAAACTCAAAGTACAATCTATCACACCACATAAAAGTACATTTACAATATGTAAGGATGAAACATTTGATCCTGTGGAACCAATTTGCATGACTTTCCTGCCTGTGCTGGGCCTTCATACAGATTTGTTCACACACAGTCAGCTTTACACTGCACTATTGAGTGTGCAATGTCAAAGAGACATTCAGGCACTATTTCCTACAGAGGCTGAGGAGAAGACTATGGCAAACATAGTATACAGACACACAATGTTTGAAGGTGATTGGTACTCTTGTAGTACATAAGATCAGTCTGTTCCCTATGTTCTTTGAGCAGGATTTTGACAAATGTAAAAATACAAAATATGTAACAGTATCATTGAATGTATTTGTTTTCCCATTTTTCCCTGCCTCCCATCTCCCACTGTGCCCCATGTCCTCCCGTCTCCCATCTCCCATCTCCCGTCTCCCATCTCCCAATCTTCCTGTTTCCCATTTTTCCATCCTCCCAACTCCTATTCTCCAGCTTTTGAGTCTCTACATTGTCTTTGTTTCCTTTTGATTGATTTATTCACAACCTTTTGACATTGATTTCCTGTCACCACATATATTTGTTGTCCCCCTGTCTGCAATATTGTATCATATGTTGTTCCATTTTAGTTTTATTATTTACTGCATGTATGTACCCTAAACAATTACAATAGGGAAAATCCTGCGTAGTGTGCTGCTCTAATGGGCAACGGCAATTCAGGTGCCGCTCGAAATATACATGAAAACCACACGAGTTGCCAAAAAGAGGTTTAAGCGAGGTAAGCAACATAAGCGAATCTAAGTGTTCGCAAGTGACATAAGCACATCTAAGCGTATCTACGCGAAAACCACGCGAGCGCCCGAGCATTCCCGAAAACTGTTCTCCCATTCTTCTTAAGATACCCACTTTGTTGTTGACTGGTTATCGGCGAGGGACCAGCAGAACAACCAGTGGGTACTAGTGAACTATTCCTATTCTATTTCACAACTAACAGTGCCAGAGCCAGGAAACATACAGACTTATCGTGACGAATTATGTCTTCCAAAGCTCTTACGACGCCTACTGTTGAGCAAGTCGTGTATTCTGATTCTAAACCGCCTGCAATGCCAACCAGTGATAAAAATCCACTCCTGCCCAACCCGAGAGACGAACTCCAAAGCACAAATTTGGACAGGCATCAACCATCGAAATTTTTATCTTCTTGCACGACAACATCGGCATCACGAGCTTCGTTGAACGGCAGAATGCGCAAGTGGAACAGTGATACAGGGAAGCCATGATTAAGCGAGGGCCAAAAGATAGATGCACTGGCGCATGCACTGAACAGGTAGATAATGCGGGCGGGAAGACGGACGCGTTAGTAGTGGGACACCGACAGAAAGATGATCGAGGGCATTTTAAGTTGGAGCCGACAAGTCAGATTCGAAAAGCAGAGACGCTTGGACTTGGATGTTTACCTTTAGGTGGTAAGAACGCACCCCGGGTTTGAATGTAAAATCCACATTGCATAGAGCTCGTCGTCCAACAAGGATAGTCATTGGATGGGACTCTGATGCCGATAGATTTGCACGTGTTCACCAGTACTTGTTCGTCGCTCAATAGTTTTCCATACCTTTTGCTGTAGGCTTTGCTTTGATCCCTGATTTGTCCAGTTCTTAGTAGTTAAGCCATCGAGGTACTCAGGTGAGCATAAATGGCCAAATAAAATATTCATATCCAAATTAGTGTTGTTCCGGCCCGGCTTGGCTCGAAAGCCGTGGCTTTGGCCTGGCCTTGCAAGGC